TCTCAGACTAATTTCCAAAGAGAACGGTTTACCAGTTAATTCCTTCCCTGTCCATTCTTCTTCCCCAGTAATCCTGCACTGCCCCTCAGTTAGAATTCCTCTTTCCCTCTGCATAACCCATTTTATCAGGCAGGCATATAAACTTCTAGACCCCACCTTGGGAAATTTAAATCTTCATTTCTGAGGCCTCCTGTGTATACACATTAAAATAAATCCAGTAACTTTTCTCTTATTAATCTGCTTTATGGTCATTCTTCGTGATGAATGAGATGATGATGATCATTCCTTCAGTGATGAAGGAGGTTTCTCCTCATGCTCACACCATGAACATCAATTTAAATCCTTTAACTTTGCATTGGGTATCTCTACTCTTGGGCATGATTCTTGGGTACCCTCTATAACAAAATGAGTTCAACTTTGGGGGCAATATTTATATGACATCTGTTTCTGAAGCCTGAATCAGCACCTGTGTTCATACTTTACATTTCCTTGATCATCCTCAGTTTTGTGAAGAGATAGTTCCTCCTAGTGGCATGGAAGCATTGGAACATGAGTTTAGGATATTACTATAAATGTGACCAAGTTAGAGTCACTGACTGCCCCCTGCTTCTCCCCATATGCATACTGAGCTAATGACCAGCCTAGAATACAGGTAGAAGTTGCTCAGCATGGCTATCACCTGCTGGCCAAGTGTACTACAAGCTCGGAGCTGATTGTTCACAGGTGGTGTCAGGGCCCAGGACTGGCCAGGTCTACGGGCCCAGCTAGGTAGGTTCTAGACACGGACCACTAAGCTACCTTGATCAGGAACAGTGTCTCTTAGGCACTTGAGGGCTATGTACTTTAGCTGGAGAGAGACAGACAGACAGTATCTTAGAGAGAGTAAAGCAGTCTTCTTATAACAGATAGCTCTTAGTCTTTAGCAGAGCTTGGTAATCAGCAGAGAAACGCTGTGCTGGCATTCTGCAGGCAGGAGAGGAGACAGAGTCAGAGTAAGGGGATCCGTGATAGAATGCACATGCCCCTTGACTGCCTTCTCCTCCAGCCTAATATAAGGCTGAGCTCGTGCTTCTCAACACCACAGGTGTAGAGACTGCCAATTCACCAATGCTTTCATCTCGTGCGCTCACTCATGCTTGTTAGAACCAAATCTCTCTCCATGCCCTTTTCACCAAGGCGGTGTTCCATTACAGGTATTTCCTATAACTCTCACTCCTCCTAGCCATAGGCTATACGGGCTGCTACATTTCCCCCCTTTTTTATATACAAACAAAATAACTTTTAATGTGGTAAGGGCAGTTCTTCCTGTTATCTAGCCCGTTTCTTTCTAGGCAAAAAATGGTAATTATCAGAGTTCAGAATTCCAGGTATGGGCTCTTTAAGTGAGGAAGCCCAATACAGATGTAAACTATTAGCCACTGCTAGAGGAAAATGATGATTGTGATTTTAATTCCCTTAAAGGTCTTTTTAAAGAAGAAAACTGCAAAATCTTTCCTGATAGAATTTATCATTTAACGTAGGAACTTTCCTTTGATATTTACTTAACGGACGAACAAAAAATAACGCTTTCCTTGCAATCTTTGCAAGCAAGGATTTTTCTCTTGCTATTCCAAAGGTTTTGCTACTCGAGGTACTGAAATCCACCCTTCACAGATCGCAAAAGACTGTTACTCATGGATTAATGGTTCCACACTTGGCAGTTCCTCTCATGGAACTGTTACTTGTGGTCCAAAAAGTACCACCCTTCACAATTCCTTGATAGCAGAGCTTTTCCTGCTTTCAAGCTGCTTTTCCAGCGAAATTTTTGCTAATTGATTCCAGACTTTTTTTCAAATGGAGTTTCCTAGCACAGAGGTGGTTTAACTTGTACTCTTCCCTCCCTTTGTTCTCACCTCTCAATCTGCCAAAGGCTTCACTTGCTTCCGAGTGACACTTCCCCTTTGGGCTGTGTCCAGTCTCCTTAGCTGGACCCGGTTGTAGTGCACAGACCCTGATGAGAGGTCGGTTACCCCTTCACCACGCAGGATAACCTAATATTCCACAAACACTTAATCTAATTATTCTCCATTGTCATCCATTGGTCTAATTTCCCCAGTTTTACTCTGAGGCACCACAGGTCTAACCAAGCTGGCAGAGTGCTCCCACGGCACAGAATTGAGTTATACTGTTTTTTTTTGTGAGAATGGTTTGAAATGAAAATATTAAACTGTTTTTTCTTTGATTTACCAGTGGGTCCCGATTCTAGCCCAACTGATAATTTCCCTACAATAAAGGTGTTCCATCTTCTATCAAGTTGATAACAGCATTTGTCTGGCCCAATGAAAGCTCTTTTTATACTTGGGACATACACCTGGAGGTTTACATGCTCTTTGTTCCTTTTAGCATTCAATGTTCTTCTCCCTTTTAAACACTTTTCTCTTACGGCCTAGCTTCCCACATTTATGGCATTTGATGTTAACTGGGGGATTTACCCTCTGATCTTCCAGCTGCCCAATTTGAGAAGTCAATATAGCATTTACCTGCTTCTACTATAAGATTCATCTGATCTCTCAACTGTATTTCAACTACTGTATCTCATTTGCCATGATTTTTCTCTACTGGTTTTTTTCTTCTGGCCTTTTACTTTTTACAATCTTTCCTTTTCAATTCTTAGAACCTTTGGCTGCCTTAAAGAGACAGGAGCTCTTTAGCTGTTTTTTACTCTGGAGTCTTGTTTTACAAAACTTTACTTCCACTATTCCTTCACCGGCCTCAGTCTACCTCAATTCTTTTCTTTTTAAGCAGAACTCTTAACTGCCAAAAAGGGAATCGGGGCGTCGGTCTCTCAAAAGCTACTTCCTGCTGGCATTGGGCGAAGGTATTAGGGGAAGGCAGTTAGAAGTTCTCTTCCCTAACTTAATAAACTCTTGCAACCTGTTCCCAAACTTTTCTCTTTGCTGTTTTACCGAAGGCTTTTCTCACCCCTGAGGCCAAAGGCTTGTTTGCTAAAGGTTATCTCTCCTAGTTTGATCTTTTCTCTTTCCCTCTTGTTTACAGGCTTTTTTCTGCCTTTTTTTTCCCTCCAGCTGCTTCACAAAAGAGGCTAAAGGCTTTTACCGGCTTTTCCCCCTTAGTTAGAATTTGGAAAGAGAAAACGTAGGAAAGAAGAGGAAGAACCCAATGAAAAAGGCCTGCTGTTGGCTGTCTTTCCTAGATATTTCTTTTCCCTCCAAGTATTTCTATTTTTCTTATTTTGCTAAAGCTTATCTCCCTCTTGGTCCGCATTCACTGAATCCTGCTCACAGCACCATTTGTCAGTGGCGTTCACTATCCTGTTTCTGACACCACTTGTCAGGGCCCAGGACTGGCCAGGTCTCGGGCCCAGCTCAGGTTCTGGACGTGGACCACTAAGCTACCTTGCTCAGGAACAGTTTCTCGTAGGTGCTTGAGGGCTTTCTACTTTAGCTGGAGAGAGAGAGAGAGAGACAGAGTATCTTAGAGAGAGTAAAGGTCTTCTTAGAACAGA